CGTGGCTTCCTCTGCAACAACATGGACTTGATGCTAGCCGACGGCGGAGACGGGATATAGTGGAAATAAGTAAAATACTATAATTGTAGGCCCTCTCACAAGACAAGGAGACGACTCCCAATTGCGTCGCTGGAGGAGCCGGGTTAGCAGTGAGCCAGGGCTATATGGGGACAAAAAATGTGCAAACTGTGGTGAGAACTGCTAAGCATAATTGGAAGTTAAGCACCAAAAAAAGATTTGGCTAATAATAGGACTCCGAGTACTTGGGAATCCCCAATGACTTGTATCCTGCATATCGAAAGGAAACTACATCCTACATACCAACACAGAACCAAAGTGCACCTCTCTCGATTGATGTCAAACCTACAATTGTGCCATTGCCAAGCGGACCCATTCCAAATGGTAAGCCTGCTAATGTGCGTACCCCCTCTGTTGAAAATAATAGCAAAAATGAGCTTTCAGATACGATTACTGACAGTGACAGATGTGATACCGCTCAAGAGAATCCAACATTCCGTTCTCGTTTTCGTACCCAGGTGCAACAAAGTTATACGCCAGCACCTGTTCGTCTACCCGAAGTCCCTCGCTATACGACACAGGTATGCATTTCCTGCCTTGCAAACAAAATCTCTGAATTTGCGATGCAGTTCTCCACAATTGGCAACGCATTTGTCCCTGTCGGACAGCCGCAGATCTCAGAGTATCAGTATGAAGATCTGAATGATCTTACATCTTGCATTGATGCGATTTGATCGACCTGCTCACTTATCGCTCATCAACTATGGATCGATAGTAATTAGGTGTTCGCTTATCGATCTTCTTGGTTCTGCACGTTAGCTATTATTGCTTTGTTTTTATTGTAGTTCCACGGTTTTGTAATAAAATTTGTTTGAATATTTCGACTTTTCCGCTAAAGAACTCGTAGGGATGTGCGTAAATATCCCTAATGCCAAGCCAACTCTCCATCTCGGTTTTCACTGTTTTTCTATTTCTCCAGCACTCAATATTTGGAAGCCGGGACAAGGTAGTCCAAGGTAAGTCTGCAGACCCTTTTAATATTAGCTGAGAGCTGTCAAAGAAGTAAGAGGGGAAAAACACCAGCGTGGAGCTTCAAACATTTGAGAACCTTTTTTCACTGATCTCACGGGTGTTCATAAACGCAAAGCCATGGCACTGAATTATGATGTGAGGAAAAGTTCTTGTAAGGGTTGTTTAGCAAAAAAAGGCAGACTAAAACGCTTTTGTTGATTTTGACTTAAGTTTTGATCGCTCTGTACTTCAAAATTTTGTGACGCTATCCAATATGGTTTGGGGCTTTAAGTTATTCATAAGCTTTTGTTAAAATCTGCTTGAAAGTAAGAATTTGTGCACTACTCTCTAAGTAGGTGTGTTTGTAATTATATTTAAATTATATCTAAGTCATGATAGTACTGATTAGTAAACCTCACCGTCTAGTCTTCTTCGTCCCTCTCCTATATATTTGCCTCTCTGATACACAACTATCTCGTTTAAGTATTGATATAGTCTTCCAGAGTACTGCCACTCCACCAAGAAGAGCTGTAGTAGAATAGTTAATTGGGGTTTGACGCAATTTCAAATCAAGTTTTTGATTCACCCCTGAAATAACTGCTTGTATGGTCCATATGACTGCGCAAAGTGTGGTTGTTGTGGCAACATCTGAGGCGATTCCTCTCCAGTGGACAGTATACAGCTCGAAGCACATTCCATAAAGGGCTAAATAGCATTTTTACTAAAGAATTAAAGTCCATCAGAAGAAAGTGGTTGGAATTTTTTTGGTTCGTGATGCACAATGCTAAGCTATCTTGCTGTAGGAATATTCATGCGTTCACTGAACGAAAGCAAGTTTTTCGTTCTGTCACCTGAGACCAGAACATTTACCCTACGCTTACTTACAGCCTACCCGGTAGGTCGTATTATCCCTCAGGATACAATTTTTTTGGAACAGATTCACAGATTTGTTATAAAGTGAGTGTCCAGAGGGGTTATGTGATGTGCTGATCACAAATATCATTTCGCGCGCTATAGCCTTAGTGTTTACGGTAGATAGCGGTGGGTGATCAAAAACACAATCATCTGAAAATTAGTCTAAGAGGCGACTCGTCACGCTGATAATCATGTTTATTTTGCTGGCTATACCTTACTATGTAGCTGAAGTAATTATAGTAGAGGATCGAAACGTGGATGAAACGTGCTAAATTGATAAATCAATAGGGTCAATTGATATTTCTGGGTAAAACGGCATATGCCACACGTTCTTCATGGAGGTGATAGTGCAAAGTTAAGCCCAATTTGCATCACTTTCGATAACTTTGCGCAAAAATCTAGCAAGGGAAGGATAATTAGTCGAAGTGACAATTCAAGAAGCGATGCGACTGTTATGCAGTTTCAGACGCTGATTCCAAATCTGCCTTTATTATCTGAGAAGCGTTTCTCTGGAAGAAGATATGAGCGTTTAAAAATGCCACGCGTTATCTCCACCTCTATCAAAGAGAACACATTGCTTGATGCTCGAAGCAGCAGATAGTGTAGTGAGAGTGTGCGATTTGTTACTGATTGGTGGAGGTTCGATTTCTCTTATTTCCAACAGTTTTACTTCCTTAGAAATGTTTTTATGCGTCAGCGAATGTTATTCATGAATGGATGACGCATTTTCACTTAATTGATGACTCTAAACAAAATTTTAGAATGTGGACGTATTCACTTTCTATAGCATTTCATATGTACGTG